GCGGGCGGGGGGGAGGGGAGGAAGGCGGGGGTGGGGGAGGGGTCTGGCTGGTGGCGGGGCGGGAGATGCCGTGCTGGCGTTGCCCGTACTGTGCACTTCTTTGCCCCTGGCAGCACCAGGCAGGCTCACCATAGTAGTACGACGACAGCCGCCTGTGGCCGCCGTAGTAATAGCTCTGCGAGACAAGGAGAGCGGGGAGGCAGGCGAGTGTGAAATACGTCGTTGAGGGGTCCTGCGTGGTGGGTGGGGCCTCCGCCGCCGGCCACCCCCCCCTTTTGCCTGCCTGCCGCAGGGCTCAGAGATGCTGGGCATGGCAGCAGATGCCCTGGGGGCAGCAGGCGGCGCCGCAGGCGCGGTGGCAGCAGCAGCAGCGGCAGCAAGGGACGAGACGGCCCCGCGCACCAGCAGGTCACGGTGGAAGCCGCTGGCCTGGGTAAGCCGCCTGTGGCCGTAGTAGCCGTAGCCGCCCGAGGTGGCGGAGGCGCAGAGCGCCAGCGCCAGGAGACAGAGAGCGGTCGCCTGCAAGGGCAGAGAGCGAAAGGCGCAATGAGGGGGGTTTTCGAACGACCCAAACAGGGGCCCGCCGGCGGGCCCTTTAAACTCGCCCAGGCTGCTTTGGGCATGGAAAGGAGGTGCCCGGGGCGCCGAGCCGGGAGGCGCCAGCCGGCCATGCCCCGCATGCAGGGCGACTGCCCAAGCCCCGCTGCACGCATTATTTGGGTTGGTCGCCGGCGCCCACCAGCCCCATCGATGCCAGGGGCCCGAATCAGGCGGTGGCTGGGCGCGGGAGAGGCAGAGGGCTCCAAACACAAGCCGCCCAAGATCCGCTCTTCATCGACCCTCACCTGCAGCCTGTGGCCAGCCATGGTCCCCTAGCAGATGTAGGAAGGCTGTGGCACCACCGCCGGGTTGGGGGAGCCGCTGCAAGCCCTGCTGCCTGTCGTGGAGCCAAGGGGGAGCTGGCACTTGGGGTGGCTCTCCAGTGCTCGGCGCTGCCCTACACGACTAGTGTAGACTGATGTGCTGTGATGGTGGCGGTGCCGGCCGCGGTTTGTGTCTGTAGGCCTCGGTGGAAGGCAAAAGGTGCGGGTTCCTGGGACTAACCCTAGAAAAGCCCTGTCGCAAATTGTCGCCGAACTCCTCCGGAAATGCGCTCAAGAGGACCTATTTGGTGGTTGCTGAGCACAGCCGACAGGGGTCCACGGGTGTAGCCCGTTTTCGACCAACCATGCCACATGCCGCGAAGAGCGGCGGCGGCAGCAGCAGGAACCTTGCGCGCCCCCCAACCAAACTCCTGCCAGCATAAGCAGGGTGCAGTGGGTCCCCAAACATCACCAGGGGTTGTGTAGCCACCCCGCCATGCAGGCCCACGCACAAAGCACTGCCTGCGCGCCTCCGCCCAGCACATTTTGCGGTCTTGGACAAAGGCCGCAACGCGCACACATGCCCCGACGTAGGCCAGCAGGCTCTGCCCTCAGCACTGTGCACAAACACAAGCCGCAGCTGCGGTACTCCAGCCCAGCTGCCAGGAGGTAGTGGCAGTCACGCATTTACAGCGGCAGCAGTGTTGCAGGCTGGTGGCCAGCGGGAGGTACAGGAGCTGCGACACGGCGACTGACTTTGCTGGCTGCGGCCACAGGCGCCCATCAGCGAGGGGAAGCAGGAGGGAGGGGGAGGTGGTTCGGGGTCACCAGTCCAGCCCATCCTCGTCCTGCGGAGCAGGCACCGGTAAAGCAGCTCCCGCCGCACACGCTTTCCCCGGCGGGTCACGCGGCACCGCTGGATCCTGCCGCTGCTGCCCAGGCCGCTGCTCCTGCTCCTCCACCCAGCGCTGCTGCTGCTGCTGCTGCTGCTGCCAGCCCTGCGGCGGCAGCGGCTGCGACGCTGCTCCCACGCCATCAGCAGCGACTGGCCCGCCTGCAGCGCTGCCCCGCCGCCGCCGCACGCGCGTCACGCCCAGCTCCTGCTCCCAGCCGGCTGGCCCGGGCTGGGGCCCGGCAGGCCGCGACGCTTCCGCCCCCGCGCCCCCGCCAGCCTGCTCTCGCCCCCAGCTGACGCCCGCACCGCGCTCCTGCTGCGAGCGCCGCAGCGAGTTCACCGCCTCTGCAAACCGCGCCACCTTGCGCTGCAGGCCGCCGCGCGCAAACACGCCCAAATCAGGGCCGCCAGCCTCTGGGCCGGCGGCCGGCTGCTCCGCCTGCCATCCTGCCTGCTGCTCGGCCGGCGGCCAACCTGGCTGCCGCCACTGCTGCTGCTGCTGCTGCTCCGCCCCTTGCCAGCCTGGTGGCGACGGCTGCTGCTGCTGAGCGGCTTGCCACTCTGGTGGTTGTCGCTGCCCCCGCGCCTGTTGCTGCTCCACGCCTTGCCCCAGCTGATGAGCCGCGTGCGCCCCAGCGCCGCCCAAACCAGCGTCGCCGCCCAGCCAGCGCCCACTCCGCTTCCTCCTCTCCGCAACTCGCTGCTCCATCCTCGCCTGCAGGGTGCAGCGGAGGAAGGCGTGGGTCTGCCGCACGCATGCCATCTGCCATCCGGCCACACATGCGAGACACGCCCGCGGGTCGCCACCGTTCACATGGGCCGCGGCGAAGCGTTGCGGCAGCACATGGGGGGAAGCAATCGACACTGTGCAGCCACAGGTCGAAGCTGCGCACACAAGCGGCACGCCGGCACTTGCGCACAGGCAGGCAGCAGCAGCGGCACATGCGGCAGCACGTGCCCGCATGTCTGCAAGCTGCTGGTCCTGCGCCTGCTGCCGCTGCTCCACTTCCTGGTTGGCCGCGGCAAACTGCTGCTGCTGCTGCTGCACTTGCCGCCGGCGAATGGGGGGCGGCGCTGCTGAGGCCGCTGCCGGGGGCTGCGGGCCTACAGGAGGCCAGCCTTGCCCTGGCGCAGCGGCCTGCACGGCAGGACGGGAGCAAGTACACCATTACAGCCAGGGGCGGTGCACTCGCACGGCAAGCAAGCTCCAGCAGCTGTGCATGGCTCGCCTGCTGGGGTGAGTTGGCGTTCTGCTGGGGTGAGGTGGCTATCTGCTGTTGCTCGCTTCCCTTCGGTGGCTGGTCGGTGTACTGCTGTGGCGCGGGTGCGCCCAGCCGCCGCTGCGCCTCCTCCGCCTCCACCGCCTCCTCCCATCGGTCCCAATCCTTCCGCCTCTGCTGCAGCCGGCTGCGGAAAGCTGCCTGCGAGCAGGGCAGTTAGGCAACCAGTGCCGGCGGGATTGTCGGCGGCGCTCGCTGGCACACCGTCGGTGGGCCTCTGCGGCCCAGTGGCAGCCTGCTTGCCCTCCGCTGGCCTCGGCTGGCCTCACCTCTTGCCTCTGACGCAGGGCGCCACGCAGCTGAGGACTGTAGTACGCGCTGCAGGAGATTGCCGCGCCAACGCGGAGAGCCGCGCCAACGCGGAGGGCTGAACGCGGACCTGGAGGGCTCCCAGATAAGGCCCGCATCCTCTCCAACACACTGATCAACTGGAGGTGGCTCGCGCTCAAGGAGATCGAAAACGGAGGCCAGGTCAGCATGCGCATGCATGGACATCCATGAGGGCCCGGGGCAATATCATGCTTTCATCGAGTTTACTCTGATCAGGGCTGATCACGCCGGCCACGGTCCTCCACCACCCTACATAGCATGGCGGCACTCACCGCCGGCACCAGGCCGGTGCAGACCTCCCGCAGCAGCCCGGGGGCAGAGTTGCGACATGGTGTGGCGAGCCGCAGCAGGCGCCGGCAGGTTGCCGCGAAAGGTGTGTTCACGAGGGGGCATTCCGCCGGCTCAGGCTGGCGCTTCGAACCCAGCTGGGCAGGGAAACTGGGCGAGCTGGACCAGTTGTCGGCAGCGGCGCTGCGTCGCCTGGGCAGCCTCCAGAGCCGACGCACTGGATGCCGCCGCGGCTCACCTCATGCCGCCGGCGGATGTGTGCCTCCTCTCGTGACCGTGCCACTTGGAGCAGCAGCCATGGCCATGCACATATCCACACCTGCCTGACGACCGCGCCGCATGTGCTCCCGCCTGCCCGCTTGCGCTGCCTGCAGGCGGCGGCCGCAGCTCGCAGAACGGCGCCATGCCGTCGCCGCCGCCGCCCGACGACGGCCTGCTGTGGGAGACGAGCAGCATCCCAGAGTACATGCAGCAGGACGGGGGGGAGCACGAGGAGATGTGCGAGAGCTGGGAGGCCACGCTGCGGGGCGGGGCAGCCGCCGGCAGGGACGCGGGCAGCGGCGGCAGCGCCGCCAGCGCCCTCTGGCAGACCATACGGCGAGTCGGGGCGGGGGAGGGGGCAGGGGGGCGTGCCGTCGTGGGGGTGTGGCCATGCTTTGCATAACAGCTGTGGGGGATGGCTGCCCCGAGCCGCCGTGCGCAGCCTGCAGCAGCCGGGTCCTCCCTCCCTCGCCCCTCCTGCCCGATGCCACGCGCAGCCCGCCACCCGCCGTCCCCGCCCCGCAGGCGCGAGGCGCAGGCGGACGCCGCATCCGAGCCCCTGCTCTCCTCCTTCCTCTACGCTTCCATCCTGTCCCACGACTCCTTTGAGCGCTCCCTGGCCTTTGTGCTGTCCAACCGCCTCTCCGACGCCACCTTCCTCTCCACCGAGCTCTTTGAGGTCTTCTACTCCATCCTGCGCTCCAAGCCAGACATCAACCAGGCCGCGCTGGCAGACATCGCCGCCGTGCGGGAGCGGGTGCGCGGCCGGCAGCGGGGCGCGGGGGCAGCGGGGCGTCCCAGCTGCGGCGCGCTGCCGCTGGCTGTGCTGCCGCCGCCAGCTGGGGGTGCCCAGACTGGAGCCTGTGCTCCCCCGGCCACCCGCCCGCCCCTGCCTCCCCGCCCCCCCCGCAGGACCCGGCCTGCATGTCGTACAGCCAGGCCCTGCTGCACTTCAAGGGCTTCCACGCCATCCAGGTGGGTGCCTCGCTCAGCTGAGCGGCGCGGCGCTGTGGCCAACAGAGGTTATGCCGCGCTCGCTGCCGGCTGGTGCGCTCGCCATCGCGCCCGCCACCACCACACTCCATCCACCCACCCTGCATGCGGCTCACAGCCTGGCCCGCTCCCTCACCAACCCGATTCAACCATGCCACTCCCTTGCTTACCCCGCCGCCCACTCCCTCGCCGCACCCCACCTCACCCCCCACCCCCGCAGGCCCACCGCATAGCGCACGAGCTGTGGAGCCGCGGGCGGCGGGTGATGGCGGTGGCGCTGCAGTCGCGCATGAGCGAGGTGTTTGCGGTGGACATCCACCCGGCGGCGCGCTTCGGCAAGGGTATCCTGCTGGACCACGGTACCGGCGTGGTGATCGGCGAGACCGCGGAGCTGGGCGACAATGTCTCCATACTGCAGAACGTGACGCTGGGAGGTGGGCTGCGGGTGGGCGTGTGTGCGTGGGTGGGTGGTGGTGTGGGTGGTGGGTGGCGGTGTGGGAGCCGAGGTGCAGGCAGCGGGTAGGCAACGGGTTGTTGGGAGGGGGCGGGGTGGTGTGGGTGGCGGGTGGCAGGCTGAGGTGCAGCCAGTGGGGGCAAGGCAGGCTCGCATGAGGCGTGTCTGGGCGGCTGCTTAAGCCGAGGTCGTGGCGGCTGGGTGGGAGGACGAGGCGCGATGCCTGTGCCATGCAGCCGCCCGCCCGCTGCCTGCCCACTCTTGCTGGTCCCTCCTCTCCCTGGGCTGGGCTGCCGCGCAGGCACCGGCAAGGTGCACGGCGACCGCCACCCCAAAATCTCCGACAATGTCCTGATTGGAGCCTCCGCCTCCATCCTGGGAAACATCCGAGTGGGCAAGGGGGCGCAGGTGGGCGGGCAGGCCTGTGCGGGCATGTGTTGGGTGGCTGCGGGGGCTCGCCTGTGGGCAGCCAGTTGGGTGGCAGTAAACCGCGGCGTGGCTGGCTGGGTGGGCATATGGCGGCTTGTGGGGTGTAGGTTTTGTGTTTGCGGACGGGATGGAGGTGCCAGGCTGCCTGCTGTGCGGCCCGGCCCCGTGCCCACCCTGCCCCCCGCCCCCCCGCTGCGCTGCGCCGGCCTCCAGGTGGCGGCGGGCTCGCTGGTGCTCAAGCCGGTGCCGCCGCGCACTCTGGTGGCGGGTTCGCCTGCCAAGGAGATTGGCACCATCAAGGGTGGGTGCCTCGCTGCCCCGGGCGCCTGGCTCAGAGCGCTGGCGCCGCTGCTGCTGCCTGGTGCTGCCATGCTGCGATGCCTGGCATGTACGGCCCCGCCGTGTCGCCCCGCCCTGCTGCCCCGCCCTGCCCTGGCTGACGCCAGTCGGCCCACCCCTCGGCCCTCTGCCCCCCC